GAGATCTTTGAAATTTTAGCAAATGATACTAAAACACTTCATTCTTGCATACAAGTAAATTATGAATGATTTTGTAAAGCATCTTCTTTATTATGGTATGATCCTTTTTCAAATAAAACAAAAGCATACCTTGCTATCAGAACTTATATACAAGAAATGTCTTTTCAAGAAAACCAAATCATCAAAAAATATTTTAACATTTCAAGATTCGAATTTAAATCATTGTTACCATATTCTTCATTCTTGCAATTAATTAATATAAATAACTTCATGGATGCTGTGATCAATTTTTGGCAAAATTTTCGTAAAAATAAGTCTAAAGATTGTATGATCACGATGATTTCTAAACTTATTATTCAATTAATGCTAAATAAATCTACTAAAATTCAACAATTTAAATTTGCAGATTTATACTTTTTGTTTATCTAGAGCTAGGCAATTCTCTTGTAAAATTAGTTGAAATCCAGAATGGATTAAAACACTTTTCACTTACAAACACTTATAATAATAATACATGTTTTTTAAATTCTCTACAATATCAATCACACTCTCTTTCAGATTTAGAATTTAATTCTGTTAAATTTATGCAATTTTCTTTAATTAGCTTTATAAAAAAGTAGCAATCACTTTCAAAATTAGCTATTTTCAATTGTTTATTTGAAAACGAAGATGAAGATTAATATAATTTAATAGACCAAATTTCCATTAAACAACTTGTAATTTATAACTCTTCAGTGCGTGTTATCAAACTTATTTTACTTTTTAATTCAAGTTTAGAAACAATTAAAATTACAGATTCATTATGTAGAGATAAAATCGAAAACATTTTTGAAATAGCTTTTGAATGTTGCCCAAATATTGTAGATTTTCAATTGGATTAATTAAATGTAATCTAGATTATTTAAATATATCTTGGGCTCCAAGCTTGCAATATTTGATATTGTATCGAAATCAATTTGTTGTTAATTTAAAAAATTTGAAATTAGGAGATTATCTAGAGAAACTAGCAAAATCATTACCCATATATACGAAAGTGATTAAAATATAAATGGTTTTTCAAGGTTATAAGGATGAAGTAAATTTAGATGATTTATGTAGATTCTTTAGTAATATTAATTACAGAAGATTATTTGTTCTTTTAGAAATTGATGTTTCTTATAATGCGCAAGTGGTTTCTAAGAGTATTCAATTTGATGAATTTGGAAAACCAGAAGAAATTGAAAGCAAAAATATTAAAGTTTACAATACAGTCTACCCTCGTTTATATCAACCCATTTGAATTGGTTTAAATTTATATTGATAATGATATTAGCAAGAGACTATATTAAAGTTGATATATGAGGGAATTTTAATATATAAAAATTTGTAAAAGTTCATCTTATTGCTTGGGCAAGGTTAATACTAATGAGTGTAGATGTATATAATTTACAGAGGAGATACAATTTGAAGTTTAAAAATCTTATATAAAACGATTATAAAAACTATCAATTGTATCTTCTCTGTAAATTACATATTAACTAGATTAAAAAATTTGCATAATTACTCAGCAGAACCGTATTTTAAACTATTTTTTTTATTAATTTTAAAAATTATTAATTTTCGTCAGCTCAATCAATTTGATTTTTACAGATATTTGATCTAATCTACATAGTACATTGGGGTGTCAATCATCAGTTCTAATTACACAGGTCATATAGTGTTGATCACTAAGATTTTTACAATAATTTAATAGTAAAAACATAGAAAGTTCAAGTTGCAATAACTCTTGAACCACCAAACCCACACAAATAAAATTATATTTTCGGGTTTGTCATAATGTGCTTTTTAATGTGACAATGCTCTTTTTATTGTCTGGAGTGTAGCGAGGGGAATAATGTAATATAAAAATCCTCGTTTTTGATTTATTATTAATAAAAATATCACGCTCGAGACAATAAAAATAAAAAAAAGGGCGTCGCACTCATTTAACCTATCGTTACATACCCCTTAAAAACAATACGTACGTACGTATCATACGATAAAGCAGATCAAATGTTCACAGACAAGCCAAAATTAGGTTGCTTAGTACAGTACATCAATACCAATTTAAGTTATCAATACGAGGAATAGGCATCTATAACGAAAAAAGTTATAAAAATAATTACTTAAATAAAATCACAATAAAAAAACAATGTTTGCATTTTTTTACCATAAAGATAATTGATTATGTTTGCGGAAGAGGAAGACTCCTTAATGTTTACATGATTTATTTTAACTGTTTTTAGTTCATACTTTATCCGAAAAAGAAATAGTCACATCACTAGTTTAGATTATCCTATTGCCGAAATATTTGCACGATGAGTAGCTGACTATTCTTTAGCCAACTATTATGTATTTAGTAAGCATTCTTTGATACGGTTGTTTTTCTATTTCTCAAACTATTCATTCACACTTATCTACTATTAATTAGATCTGAGAACGTAAAAAATGAAGAAAACGTCGTTCCAAATTTAGTCCAAAATTGTTAAACCTAATTATCTTAAAAAGATATATTGATTTATGTATAATGTTTGTTTAGAGACTTTGTATATTGTTATTGAAAATTTAATTGATCTTTAAATTTAAAAATGAAGTCAATTACTAAGAATGAAAAGTTAGTTTTAAAACATGAGAGTATTCAATATTCTGATCAGGAATTTAGTTTTTGTAAAATTAATTAATAGAATTCTGATAAGTTGTCAATAAAATTTTGCTTGGTATTAAAAAATGATTAGAGTTCTGGATAATTAACAAATATGATATCTGATCAAATGAATAATCAGATACGGATAAGCATATATCCAAGTTGGAACTCTCTTCAATAGATTCACTGAAGGTGGCATATTATAACCAAACCAATAATGACTCAAGTTTTCTTATTTAAATAAATTTAAAAGTAACTTTTTAAAATTAACTCATATTTCTGAAGCGTTGAAAAAAATATGTTTAATAAAATAAATTGTGAATCATTTCTAATATCAATTCAAAATCAGCATGCGCCTCACTTATGAGCACTATAAATTCCGTGAATGTGCAATATTTACGGAAATGGAATATAAAGGTGAGTTAGTCATAGCAGAAAATGTCGCGGTAACATGATCTCTGACCTTTTCCGACCTGTCATGAGATTCGAATTTTAGCCTCACTGAATTATGTACATAAGTACTGAAAAAGTACTTACCAGTTACGTGATTCAGTAAGGCTAAAAATCCAAATCTTAGATTATCTTGATTACCTCATGACAGGTCGGAAAGGATATCACGTTACTGCGACATTTTTCTGCTATGACTAACTCACCTGGAATATAAATCACTTTAAAATTTAAATTATATCTAATGGGACTAAGAAATATGAAATAAGACAAAAAATCTTTTATAACTATATATTTCTAGTAGAAAAATTCAAAGAAGTTAGCTGGTGTTTTTGCAAACTGCCTCTTCCAATGCTTTTCTCCCTTCTGATCCAATATTATTTTCTCGAAGATCCAAAGAAATCAGAGTGGTGTTCTTGCAAAGTGTATCCGCTAATGCTTTTCTCCCTCTGATTTAAGCACATTATAACTAAGATCCAAATCTTTAAGCGCAATGTTAAAGCAAAGTGCAACTGCAAATGCTTTTCCTCCTTCTGGTCTAAGATTATTATAACGAATATTCAAAAAAGCCAATGTGGTGTTTTTTGCATAGTGTATCGGCAAAGTGCAGCTGCTAATGCTTTTCCTCCCTCTGGTTCTAGATTATTATAACTAAGATTTAATGAAGTTAGAGTGGTGTTCTTGCAAAGTGCATCGGCTAATGCTTTTCCTACTTCTGATCCAAGAATATTCTCATGAATATTCAGAGAGATAAGGGTATTATTTTGTCTAAGTGTATCAGCTAATGCTTTTCCTCCCTGTGAATTAAGATTATTATAACTAATATCCAAATCTTTTAGCGTGATGTTAATGCAAAGTGCATCAGCAAATGCTTTTCCCCCTTCTGGTCCAATATTATTATAACGAATATTTAAAGAAGTTAGAGTGGTATTTTTACAAAGTGAACTTGCTAATGCTTTTCCTCCTTCTGGTCCAAAATTATTATAACCAATATTCAGAGAAGTCAACATGGTATTTTTATAAAGTGCATCTGCTAATGCTTTTTTTCCTTCTGATTCAAGATTATTCCAATTAAGATTCAAAGATGTTAGCACGGTGTTTTTGTAGAGTGCATTTGCTAATGATTTCCCTTCTTCTAATTCAAGATTGTTATATTGAAGATTCAAATTCTTTAGAGTATTGTTCTTGCAAAGTGCATCTACCAATGCTTTTCCTCCTCCTGATCTAATATTTTTCAGAGATGACCATCCACGCCAGCTTCAATGTTTAATATTTAAAGAATCAAATTAAACTTTTTATAAAGGTTATTTAAATCTATAGATGTACTATGAAACTACTTAGTAAAGTAGTGTTTAGTATATTAAAGTAAATATTTCAAACATGATTATTTATTATTATTATACAACTTGATATTAAATAAATACATTTATTTAATCTTATTAGTAAATGCCTAAATATAAGCATAAGAGGTTGAGTCAATAGAAACTAAGCAAATATTTTTTAATAAGTTTTTTTTTTAAATTTCAAACAAGAATAACTTAATAAAAACTTAATCAAATTTAATAAAATTTTTTTTTAAATTAATTCTACAAGTTTGTAAAATTATTTAAAAAATTTTAATTAAATTTGATCAAGTTTTTGTTAAGTTATTCTTGTTTAAAGTTATAAAAAATTCTTATTATAAAAAATTTGCTTGATTTCTATTAACTCACCCCTATATACATAATTTTCTACACTAAATACTTTCTTTCAGATAGACAAATAATTGATGTAATACATAAAAAAAAAAATAATTTAAACTTTTTGACATATTCATAATTTAATAATTTTTACTAATCGATCCAATTATATAAAAAACTCACTTAGAATTACTCTGTTATAAGAGTTATGGCTAAATAAACAAGTTGCTTAACAATTCTGGAAATTCATGCAAATGACTAAGATCTAACTGCTCTTTTGAATTTGTTCTAATGAAAATTTCAATAACTCTGTCTAAATCATTATCAAGTTTAAAACCTAGCTCTTTCTCTGTTAACGTGCCAGGACCTAAATCTAGGTTTCTAGCTTGCAAAACTTTGATCCCCTCATTATCAATTGCATTCAGACTAGTTATATCATCATAATGATACATGTCTGACCATTCTGTGTCAGCTACGAATTTTTTGCTAAACTTAAATCAATAAAAAACCAAAGTAATTTACAAATAGTTTTCAAATAGAAAAGTTTACTTACTAGATTGCAACAAACTTATTGCGTACATCTCCTAAAGTTAAACTAATTCCATTCACTCTGATAGCTTTGTTAACAAATTTATGGTTATCAAGCAATTCTACGACACATCTGCCAATATCAGCAAAAGACGTAAGGGTCACTTTTTTATCTCTTTCAGCATAAAAGTTAGAATCTCTGGTAGTTGTGTCAAATCCGAGCCAAGCAACATACTCGTAAACTAATCCAGTGTAAATAGTCAAGTTTAACTTTGCTTAATTCTTCCGTTTCTTCTTTTATTTCTAACTTTCTATTTACCATGATCTCTGTTTTCTTTACAAATTTTCTGGTTTCTAATGCTTTATAAAAGTCTTTCTTATCTTCGAAAACATACCAAAGCGCCTTATCAGTAATTATTTCTTTACTTTTATTAGAAAATATAATTAATTCTCTAGTTAAATTCTTTGTTCAGTAGTTACTTAAAAAGTATTAAAACTTACTCTTCTTTTGCAATAGAAGTATAATCAGCATAAAACTCAGATGGAACAAATCTTTCTATCCTTTTTATTCCTTTTTCATTTTTTTCAAATCTTTCATTAATTTCCAGCACAGCTTTTAGCGGATTTATCTGCGCATTATAGCATGGCTTTCTGCTGCCTATTCCTAAAGCACTAACAACAAAACTCACTCCTGCTAAAGCTTCGACAAGTTTGTCATGTTTGTTATAGTCTACCTGCTCGATGCCTGCACCTTCTTCTTCTAACCTTTTAGCTCTATTTTCTCTTTTCAATTTTTTCTCTTCAAGATATTCACTGTTAGCATGTCGAATTACCTTGATTGCATACTTCTTGTATCCATATTTAAGAAAAGCCTTAGCAATATTAAATCCTATATCGCCAGTAGCTCCAGCAATAACTACAAGCTTCCTTTTATAACTTTCAGTAAAAATGTTTTGCTTACAGAATTCTAATGCATCCTCTTTCCCCTAGAATACAGCTAATTTTAACAAATGACTAGCTTCTTCTTTGTTATTACAAAGTTGGCATAACATTCTTCTTTTCCAATACTTTGTATCAGGATTAGTCTCTTTTTCAAGCATATTCAAATCTTCTAAAATTTTAGCAACACTATTCATGTTATCAAATTTGTTATTTTGTTGTTCATAAACTAACATAGACTCTGTTCTACTTTTGAAGTAGGTATTGCTAAATGTGTTTAGCGAATTTCTTTTCTTTATGGATTTTTTTTTAAAAGGGTGCAAATTAAAAAGAACATCATCATTTTCATTAACCATTTTGCCTAAGAATTTAAAAATACTCTTTACAGAATATTCCCTGCTTTTATTTAAAAAAAAAAAAAACTTAAAAAATAATTCAATGAAACTAATTTTAAAATTGTTCTTTCAAACTGTTCCAAAATATTACAGTACAAAGTACTTTATTTAGAGCTTGGGTTGTTTTTCTAGAATTTTTATAATTCTTATTTTATTTTCAAATTATTGAAATCAATTCTCATTAGATTCGACACTAAATTATTAAATCTTTTAATTGATGATTAAATATAATCAATTAAAACTTTGAGTTAAAAGAACTTAATTAACTCAATTTAAAAGAATTAATAATTTTTTTTTTTCTAAAAATAAGAACAAAACAATTCATCACCGTTAATATACATTGCAATATAAATTTTAGACATTATAATTTTTTGTAATATCTAATTTTTACAATCCCAAACAATAAATGAGCAGTATGTAGGTAAAATGGGAAAATATTAAAATCCACGCATTTACGAAATTGCAACAAATTTTAAGAACTAGAAAATTATTATTTGAACAGCAACTGAATTAAATTTCGTGTGTCATTTGTTTTAACAAAACACGTTACAAAATAGTTTCGTCAATTCGTCAACAGTAAAACAGTTTCATCACTATATTTTCAATGTTAAAAAAAAAAAAAAATAATGCTAATTTTAGCAAGAAAAAGATAATAAAAGAGAAAGAATATCTAATGAAAAACAAGAAAAAGATGAGAGATGATCTGGATATTATATCAAATGAGTTAAGAAATATAATTGAAATTAAAAAAATGAATATGAAGAATCAAGTAAAAGAAATAATGAGTCAAATGAAAATAATGCCCAAAATAACGTGATATTTCGAATAATCATCTTAATTTTAAGGAAAAAAGTAATATAAAATTCTTGAACTATTCTCTACCATGTTATTTTCGCTCTTATTTTTTAACAACCTTTAGCTGCTTTAAAAGAATCCTGAATTCTTAAAATTTGATCAACTATAGTATCTAATGAAGAAGGTCAATAAAAATAAAGGTTTGAATTAATTTTAATATTAATTTTTTAACAATCAGTTAACTTACCACATGTAATCGAAGTACTGCTTTTCAGCACGAGAGGAAGCACTACACACACCAAATTATTATTACATGGAATAATTGACTATGAATCTTCTTGGGCACATAGAGCAAAATCTTTCCCTATACAAGCTTGATCACCAACTTTACAAGAAGTATTCCTGGTAAAATCCTTAAATTTTTTTTGAAGTGCTTGAGAATCCAGTGTGTTCTTTTTGCGGAAGCATTGATTATTTTCAGACATGGCTATGCTAACAAAAAAAAATGATAACAATAAAAAGTTTAACAAAATACGATTGCATTTTTTTTAAAAAAATTATTTAAATGATTGTTTATTCATCCGAGCTTTTCGCTTAAATACTTTAATTTTAGTAAGTATTAATGCAAAATAAATAATTCTTTTAATTAAATCACAACATATAATTTTGGAATTATTTCAATTCGCAAATTTAATAAGCAAATTTCAATCAAGATTATAATGGGTCAATTAAATTTTGGACTTTGGAACTAATACTGATGAAGTTAGCCAACATTAGTTATAATGCTGGCCAATTTAACTCTTTTGGAAAAATGGTTTCGGGATTTTATGATAAAACCCAAATAATATTTCTTGAATCAATTTTATATTTTTGAATTCAAAAAAATAAAGAAAAAGAAAACACAGAATTAATGAGACTTTATTGTATTATTTCTTTAACAATAAAATTAAAAAGAAAAAAGTCACAGTTATAATCCAAAGCGTAAGAATTGTTTTAAATTACAATCATTTCCTCTGGCTAATGTTGGTTCTCAAAAAAAAATTCATGTTCCGCCAGTCCTGTCTCCTTCTATTTTTGATGACTATGGAGTTTGGTTGATAACCGTTCGACTTTAGGATCTTTATTCAAATGAATAACTTTAATTTAATTTATTTCATCCAATTCCAACTTTTATTACTATAAAATCTGAAAAAATGTAATAAGACGAAAAAGAAATGTTTATTTTTACTTAAAATACATAATTATGTGTGCAGTTAAGTACAAATTAACATTTTAAATCTTTAGTACCCAAATGTTGGATATGGTATTATTATGTAGATAAAATAGAATAATAGTGTTAAATAACATATGGGTTGTTGTCTAGCAAAACCATGCTTAGAACATATAAATATATACTCTTCTAAGCATGGTTTTGCTAGGCAACAACCCATATATTATCATTAATCAATAATTAAAAAACTAAATTTATATTTATTAGCAAAAATATCTAATGAAAGTGTATGATTTTTTTAACTTCAAGCTCTCAACTAGCTCTACATGGTAATACAACTACTTTTTTCAATATTAAATATTAAAAAATTAATTGATTCGAACTGATTAAGATATTTAATAAATATTGATTTGTCTTTTATAACATCATTTTTTATTAATGAAAATGCATAAAGCAATTGAACCGAAGCAATTCCTTTATCAGCTGCTTGCAACAATTGTTCAATATACTCGACATTATCTTAAATAGAGATGTTATCTAAAACTAACATAGTGCAGGTGCATAGTAAAAGTCATTAACCAAATTAGATTACCTTAGATTACTAAGCAATAAATAAATAAAATCGATTCTAATATTTAATTGTTATCTTAATAAATCCTTGAAATTTAATTATCTATACTAAATTTAGATTCTCTATCATGTATTTCTAAACAATCAAGAAAAATTTTATGAATAAGAAAAGCTTCGAAAATAAGTTTCAATAACTATAGTCAACTTTATTAGGCAAGTACTCTTTCGTAAATATTTTTCATTAGTGTTAGAAATTTTTATAAAATAAAGTTGAAATCTTGTATACTGATATATTTGAAACTTTTTAATCTTATATAATTATATTTACTAAAACTTTATATTTGACTTGCTCACTTTCAAATATATTGCTCAACATCTGTAAGTAAATTGCAAAGAGAAAAAATTTTATTTGTTTCTGTTACCACTAAAGAATCGTTATTATTTATTTCAAAATAAATATAGCCACAAATCTCGATAATAAATTTCCTTTAGTTCCACACGAACCCAAACCTCGTAATAAATACTAGCAATTCAAAAAAAAGGTGATAAAAGAAATCAAAAAATTTATTATGAACGCATGCGACGGGAAAATATAAACAACCTGTTTGAGAAAATTGTAGATAATTTGCCTGTTCTATATGATATTAAAAGAAAATTACCGAAAGAAACTATTTTGAAGGTTATACTTGGATATATTAAACATTCTAATCAATATGTACAAATAATTGAAAAGGAAAATGAAATGCTACATTATGAGAGATTGTGTTTATTTTATAACAATATGTGATGATAGTATCAGAAATTTCAAATGATTTGTGTAAACTACTTTCTTATGATTTAAATTAAGTTTACTAATTTAAGCGAATTCAATTTCATACAGCAATAATAAGATTTATTTATTGTTAAAATATAGGCAAATTTTTTGGGATTTTGAAATTTTGGCTGCCAGCTCACTTTGATTATTGATATTAAGATATCCAATAAACAAAACTATAAATTAACTTATCAATATCTTATAATTTTCAAGAAGCTATAAAATTGTTATTTTAAGTCCAGTTTCTTTTTTTTTTTTTTTTTTTATGTATTATTATTTTTCTATTGAATTAGAATTAATATTATTGATTCAGTACTGCAAATTTGTAATTATGGTAATAAAGAATTTGTATTGTATTTACTACAATTGATGAAAGAGAAAAACAGAATTTGAAAATTGAACTTTTTGTTTAAACTAAATTAATTTTTTTATTATTTTAATCGCGTGAGTTAATATGACAACCTGACCTTAACAAGAAAATAAGCAAAAAAATATGCCAATTTTTTTGACAATTCATTATGAAATTCAATTTATAATTTTTTAAAATATTTTTCTGTGACATTAGCCTAAGTAATTAGGGCAATGCAAATATATGAAAGAGTAATTCTTCTGGCTTTGGATGGTCTCGGTCACTTCATAAAAGATAATAAAGATGAGTTAACTAACTTTGACAATTTTTTAAATGCGGGTTCCAATGTCTAGCTATCCAGCCTACTGACAGTGCTCAAATTTGGATTCTCACTAAGACCAAATTACCAATATTTCCTCTTTGTAATGATTCGTATGTAGTACTTCAA